TCTGTTTATTTATAGGAATCACGCTATGTTATATTGTTATAAGCGAGTGTCACCGAACACTGTGAATTCATATGTGTGCTCAATCATTTAACCCAGCAGCTATCTGAATATACCTCTGCTTACTGCATTGATCTCATCACAGACTCCATATTTTGTTATCACAATCGACTGTCGGCACTCCCAGGTGTGCTTAGTCCTCCGATGCGAACTCGGAACTCCGTCTAGGATCAATGAGACTATGCCCTAGGTCTACATTAATTCTCGCTGCAGCTGAAACTAAATTTCTACGTGTTTATTGTTACAGGAACCACTAGCGTATTCGAACTGGCCACACGTATACGGATAAGCCTCACTGATGGATGGGTGCACCTTGGAGGAACTTTCTTGTACCCAGACAATCGTAAGTATTTTGATATCTCTAGCTATTTTCCCTATTTATTGCTTCAGAAAACTAAAAGAAAACTCTTTTGTCCATCCTGCCTAACTGTTTTAGTACACACCAAATACTACGGTCATTTCCGCAGAAGAGATAAAACCAGAAAGGGAGTCATACCGCAAAAGAAGTCAAAGCTCCACTTCCAAGCAAAGGGTAGCAGCGAAGCAGATGGAAAGATAACAGAGAAAATACTGCATTGTTGTTGTTGTTGTTATCGATCCAGCGGCGCATCAGCTTAAAATGACGTCTCTATGGTCAAGGTAGTCAGGAGTATAATCCAAAAGTGTGCGGCTCCCTCTACACCTTAAGCGGTACAAGAGGAAATAAAGTAGACGCTACATGTTAGATCTAATCGCTCGTCATAGGACATTAGCAGACTACAGAAAAAACAGTAACTGATAAGCATCAATATATTGTTTACATCAGTAGTGTTATGACGCGGTAGAAACATCGCCATAGCAATTATATTGAAAGTTATTAATTTTTTTTTAAAATCGAAACTGTCTCGTGATGTGGCAGGAAGATTATCAGGTCAATGGCGGGAACATCATTGAAGCTTTCATATCAGAAGTGAAATATTGTGTGGTAAGAGCAGCTGGTCCCCTTTACATACACATTCAAAACAAACACAGTCACAGACAAGAACTTTTAGCTCTCGCCTTTAATGTTCAAAGTAAACCAATGTCCTTTACTGTTGCCTCTTATTCTCCATGTATTCATGAGTAAATTTAAATGGGGAAACATCAGTATGTTGTTTCTAACTCAACACCCATTTGTAGTTGATCATAGTTTCTAATTCAAGAGCTATTTGCAGCAGATCAGAGCTTATAACCCAAGAGCCATTTGCAGGTCGTCAGAGTCTAGTCTAGGATAATTACGTACAACTGCAATACTATACCGGTTTACATCTACCAATATGTTGAAACACAAATTGAAAATGACACACAAACGCATCTCCAAGCGCCCCCTCCCCCCCCCCCCCCCCCCCCCCCTCCCCTCACACAAATCATTTAACATTATCACGTCATCAATTTAACTGCCAAAGATCTGTTCTTGACATCTCTAACTGAACTGAGCTAAATACTTAGTGAAACCACACAGTCCAAATACACAGTACATTGTGGGTGACTTGTGTTGTTGGACTGAGTTAGTTTACCTGACTTAAGTTAAGATGTGCTAATACAAAAATCATGTTGAAAGGTGCACATGAGTAATATTTCGTTCACACAGTCCGTTGTTTGGTACTTTAATAGTTCAGGCAACACAGCTGGTTAAATTGTAGAGTATACCCATTGTATGCAATAAATCCATGTCAGTGGAGGTTAAGGAAATAATTCTTGCATGCTATATAGAGCTAGTTTTAATATACGGCTAAGAATCCTTGAAAATTAATAAACAAGCCGAACAACATCTTGAGGCCTCGGCAATGTGATTTTACAGAAAAATCCTTAGATTCCTGGGTTAGCCAAAATGAGCAACCCAGATGTTTTGAAAAAGGCTGGGGGTCAAAGACAGCTTATTGCGAACATCAGAAAGAAATAGTCATAATTTGATGGTCATGTAAAAAACCAGAACATGTTGTGACCATTGGACAAATCTGTGGAAAGAAAGACAAAGGAAGACAGAGCGAGAAGATTCTTGGCAGCCTTTTGTCATGCCTTGGAAAAGGAAGGGGGAGCGGGGCAGCACATGAACTGATACTAGCAGTTGCGAATCGCGGATTCATGAGAGGCATGATCGCCCACGACAGTTGACAATTCAGTTGATATTGATGATGACATCAATAGCAGAGATTTTCTGCACTAACTGTTCATTGTCTAGAGCGCCTTTTGAGTATGGAACAACAGGTCACGAGTGGTTGTCTTTATTCTCTAATGTGGGTTCTGACCCCCTCCCCCTCCCCTATCTTGAACTGTCTTCCTAACATGCAAAAGAGTCGACTAATTAGGAGTTCACTTCAGCCTGAGAGACAAGGAACCAAAAGTCTGACTGCAAAAAAGATAGATCTATAAACAGACGTGCCCGCAAAACTCAATTTCTTGGACAAAACTAAAGTCCAAAAGTGGACGAACAACCGGAACTGTCCGCCGGAGTTAACAGCCGATGAACGCGAAGAAGAAGATTGTCTTTATTCTAACTGCATGTCTTCCTCTCTCTTTCTCTCTGTGTCTGTCTGTCTCTCTCTGTCAATCTCTCTCTGTTTGTCTCTGCCTGTCTGTCTCTGTCTGTATATGTGTAAAATGATTGTGTTTGTATCTATGGGTGAATATGTGTATTTATGAATGTGGGTATATTTATATAAATATATGTGTAAGTAGGAATGTATATATAAGATAGAATACATGGTAGTACTAAGAGAGGGAAAGGATATAAACTCTTGCAACATACAAATCGATAATATGAAAATCAAACAAGCGAAAACACATAAGTACTTGGGTGCTAATTTTAACTGCTCCAACATAGTGAGAGAAGAAATACAATCTAGAACAAACTGAAAAAAAAGTATACTATGCCCTTCAACTTCTGCTACAGTCAAAGCCTCTACCTCACCGCAACACCAATATTAAAATAAACAGAAGGCTGATAAGACAAGTTGTATTTTATAGCTCTGAAACTTGGCCACAACTGAAAGAGATAAAGCCTTATTACCAAAGAAAATTTTTTTACGGAATCTTACGATTAATCTTTGGACCCATCAAAGACGCAAAAACCGACAGTATTGCCACTACACGTACTACACACAAAAGCGCCTGTTACTTGTACAATCTTTAATTCTGCCGACAGTGATGTCCTAGATTATGTATTATCCAATTTTGACACAATTAGGTTAATGTTTGTACGAATGCGCAGTTTTAAAATTCGTGAAAGGAAAGTCCTAAACTGTGTGTTTTAGAACAATTCTAAAGCTTTGTGAGTCTGGGAAAAAGCCTAAGCCCAACTAGCTAGCTCTGGAATGTCAATAAACTTTCGAAGGGAAATGTGCAAACAGTAAACGTTAAATTAGGGCGCTACAAAAAGATAACAGTAAGACGGTCTGGGGGAGGGTCTCGGCCTCATTCATAAATTTAACAGCTTACATAGCTTAATAATTTACAAGGAGCCTAAGCCTTGTTTAAGTGCCTCATAACAAAATTAATGATGATGATGATTACTATTGCAATGATAATGATATACCGAATGGCCCACTAATATGAACAAGTATTTTAAATAATAAGAACTTAAAAAAAAGTAAGTTCTACACAGGGTTATGATAAGAATATGTCATTGAACAAATGGGGCGTGGCGGGGTAAAAAATGGGGGGGGGGGGGGGGGGGGGGGGGGGGGGGGGGGTTAAGGCTCTAAGCCCTAGCCTTAGCATTTCGAGGCAGGGAGCAGAGAAGCAGGCTCTTATGTAACAATACGCTATTCTATATGTTTTGTTTCATTGTTAGTACTGGTGTTTTAATTTATTTTAAAAACATCACTCAGAATACACAAGCGCTACCCTGAGTGTGCAGGGTCCGGCTGCTGGGGTTTCCTACTACTTTGATGACGCATCTCTTGTTGAAATACCCGAATACACAACATGGGAAGCTGACGCTAATGCGCTCATTGAGGCTCACAGGAAAAACAATATTCGCTTCTTGTAAGATTTTTCTGACTACTTTTTTTTTTTTTTTTGTTAAGCCACTACAAAAAGTACATTTCACATTAGTACCTCATTACTGCATATTAGGAGCAGAAAAATTTCCGTCATGAGAAGGTCAGTCAACCAGGTGCCCTCTCAAGAGTGAAAGCTGACCTAATGGAACTCGAACACGCTCCCTCGGACTCCAGTTCATCCATCTCTTGATATTGTCCTCATACTTCTATCGCTGTATGCTTCTTCCTCGTTTGCCTACAACCTTAAAAGTTTTTTTTTCCCTTTAAATCAGAGCAACAAGAAGATAACGGTCAGTAAAGGAAGAAAGTGAAATATATACAATAAAGGAATACCGAGGAAAACAGGCAAAATATATTCACAGTGAACTACTGTTTCCTCTTTGACAGCCTCTTGATTTTTAAAAGTGTAAATGTAAGCATCCGGACAAATGTTGCCGTAGTTATAAATTCCTAATTAAAGGGTCGGATCCGGCTTGTACTTGTGTGCACTTCTCCGCCTAGCACGATCTGCAGTCTTCCGTCTGCTCTGTCACACGCCGATTACGTATTTACGAGATTCAGTTACTCCTGAAGATACAGAAATATCCGTCTGTGAATGGGGAATGTTAGACACTATATGGGGCAGACTACACATGGTAATGCACAATTTATTGTTTCTCCACTGTTTGGTGTAGGGGATCTTGGAGGGGCAAGGGGGGGGGGGGGGGATAAGCTGTCTGTAAACAATGTCAGTTTCTGAATCAGAGACGACGAGTGTTGATCCCCTGCGCTATGGTCTGACTGTTCGTTCGCTTCTGGAGTTACTCGTATTCCAGAGCTTAGGTTTTGAGTGCACATCCGTTTTACAGTGTTCCAGAACTCAAGTTTTGAGTGCACATTTATTTTTCAAATGTAGCTTATTTGTAAGCAGACTATTGGTTCCTCGCTTCTGATGTAGATGTATTCCGATTTTGAAGGAAACTGCCCTAACTAGTGAACCTTCACCACGTAATTGATAGGGGGCAGTGGATCTACACACCTGGGCACGCAGGAGTAAATGGTAATGAAATAGCTGACCAGCTGACAAGTACTGCACCAGTACAAAGGGGAAGAAGCATGGACAGAGCTGATATCATTAACGCTGTACGGACCAGGCTGGAGGGTAATAGCGAATCTCTGACGGTAACACGACTGCGTAAACGAGGGGTTAATCATAGTGAAACATGTCTATACCGTAAAGACAAGATACACTCTAACCAACCCTCATGGGAAGAATTAGTACACCTTGGAGTGGCTACTGCATCGGAGGACTGAGCACGCATGGGGATACCCAAAGTGCAAAGACGTCGATTATGACAACACAGAATAGCACAGAATAGCATAACATAACTTAATATAACATGCACTTGTAGCTTCTGAGGCGTTCCCTGGTAATGTTTTTTAATGAACCCATGAGGGGGAAGCCGCAAATCGAAAACAAACAGACGACTTTCAAAAACTATTTGATCAGAGACAAAGTTTTCTTGGATAAGGGCGTAAATCAGAAACCCTTCGAGTAAATCGTTAGTTGAGGTTATTTTTTATCTGTCCTTGATTATTGTGATCTACATTTCTCCAAACTTGGTATCTTAAAAACGTCACACAGCAGTTTGAAATCTCCAAGAATAGCATGTTAAGCTACGGCCTAATTAAAATTAAAAAAGGAGAAGGCATTCACTCTACAGGTAGATGACAGCAGAAGGAGGAGTCATTCACTTCACAAGTGGATGGCAGCAGAAGAAGGAGGTATTCACTCCACAGGTAGATGGCAGCAGATGAAGGAGGGATTCACTCCACAGGTAAATGGCAGCAGAAGGAGGAGGGATTCACTCCACAGATAAATGGCAGCAGAAAAAGGAGGGATTCACTCCACAGGTAAATGGCAGCAGAAGAAGGAGGGATTCACTCCACAGGTAAATTTCAGCAGAAGAAGGAGGGATTCACTCCACAGGTAAATGGCAGCAGAAGGGGGAGGGATTAATTCCACAGATGGATGGCAGCATAAGGAGGAGGGATTCACTTCACAGATAAATGGCAGCAGAAGGAGGAGGGATTAATTCCACAGATGGATGACAGCATAAGGAGGAGGCATTCACTCCACAGGTAAATGGCAGCAGAAGGAGTAGTGTTTAAAAAAAAAGTTAAGTATTCCCGCCTTGAGGACTATTGGGCATAAGGTGCTAGGCAATATTTGTGTATGCGCCAGGCACGTGCACTGACGAGCGATCACACACATAATCACACACACACACATAAATCACATTATGTAATGTATACAAACATACAAATACACTCACTCGGTCACACACATGCGCATTCTATTAAACGTTTCTCTCTTCACATAGGATAAATATTCCATCAAACACCGCTGCCTCGGACTATGTTGTTCACGTAAGATTTTATAAAATTGACAGTAGACTTTGTGTGTAACTTTGGCAGTAGACTTAAAGTGTGTAAATTTGGCAGAAAACTTTAAGTGTGTAAATTTGCCTGACAGTAACCTTTAAGTGTGTAAATTTGCCTGGCAGTAACCTTTTGGTGTGTAAATTTGCCTGGCAGTAACCTTTAAGTGTGTAAATTTGCCTGGCAGTAACCTTTAAGTGTGTAAATTTGCCTAGCATTAGACTTTGAGTGTGTAACTTTGACAGTAGACTTTAATTGTGTAAATTTGATTAACAGTAGACTTTGAGTGTGTAACTTTGGCAGACGACTTTAAGTGTGTAACTGTGGCAGAAGACTTCAAGTGTGTAAATTGGCCTGGCAGTAGACTTTGAGTGTGTAAATTTGCCTGGCAGTAACCTTTAAGTGTGTAAATTTGCCTGGCAGTAACCTTTAAGTGTGTAAATTTGCCTGGCAGTAACCTTTAGGTGTGTAAATTTGCCTGGCAGTAACCTTTAGGTGTGTAACTTTGCCTGGCAGTAACCTTTAGGTGTGTAAATTTGCCTGGCAGTAACCTTTAAGTGTGTAAATTTGCCTGGCAGTAACCTTTAGGTGTGTAACTTTGCCTGGCAGTAACCTTTAAGTCTGCAAATTTGCCTGGCAGTAGACTTTAAGTGTGTAAATTTGACAGTAGACTTTAAGTGTGTAACTTTGGCAGAAGACTTTACGTGTGTAAATTTGCCTGGCAGTAGACTTTGAGTGTGTAACTTTGACAGTAGACTTTAAGTGTGTAACTTTGGCAGAAGACTTTAAGTGTGTAAATTTGCCTGGCAGTAGACTTTGAGTGTGTAACTTTGACAGTAGACTTTAAGTGTGTAACTTTGGCAGAAGACTTTAAGTGTGTAAATTTGCCTGGCAGTAGACTTTGAGTGTGTAACTTTGGCAGTAGACTTTAAGTGTGTAACTTTGGCAGAAGACTTTAAGTGTGTAACTTTGGCAGAAGACTTCACGTGTGTAAATTTGCCTGGCAGTAGACTTCGAGTGTGTAACTTTGGCAGTAGACATTTCAGTATGGAACATTGATAGTAGATGTTTGAGTGCGTAAAATTGGCAGTAGATATTTGAATGTGTAAAATTAGCAGTAGATGTTTAAATGTGTAACTCTGGCATCAGGAATGATTTAATGAATGAGTGAAGAGTGAGTGAGATTCGAGACTCGAGACTCGAACAGTAGTAACGAGTGTCATGTATAATTGCTACTTCTTTTTTTTAGTTTACTGATAGCTTCTGGAAATCCTATTTCCAGGCCCTAAGAATCTCAGCAAGCAGTTGTAGTTTTTAAACCACTGGGACACGTTTTACAATAGTTAGTTAGTCTTTCCTCTTGTGTCGAGTGCGGCACATAGGGCAGAGGTCGCGACTCTCCATGCACGGCGGTCCGTTGCAATCCGTTGTAGGTCTTGGATGTTTGAGTGGCCCATGAGCGAGCCTTCCCTGATGATAGTTCTACTAATTTTACAATAGTGCTTGACGATAATTACAAATATGACAAATGTAGTGGCTACTTACATTTGAATACCTTCAGGCAATAAAAGAGCAATAACAGGCAACAATATATGAAGCAGACCGTCTTGTTTTGATTATAATATATGTAATCTCTAAGGTAGACCATACTCGCCACCTGTTTGAATTTGGGACTGGGGCTCGAAGCGACTTCGTTACCCACGAGGACTACCAGCAGTATCGGGACGTTTTATACAGCTTGTTCAACTCGGTCACATTACATCAGTTCACCTGGTTCCGCGATCAAGGCACCGCGGTAAGAAATTTCTACATAAAAGCTCAGCGAATCTATCAAGCATGCATACCCTGTTAACATCTATAATAATGTCTACACAAACAGTACAAATTTAGAAAATCTTCTGACTTCATTTGAAAACATTTTGCCATCGACACAGCATTCAAATTTTGTATCATGAAAGCTGAAGGGCAATAGTTCAGCTATTAGGCTGGACTTGCAGAAAATATACTTGCTTCTTAGCTTTCCTAAATGGGAAGCCGCGACACTAGAAATACTATTCACATTACACATTTGGTACATTATTATGGTAACGATATGTAACTGTTTTATTGTTGAAAAGGATATTGGCGATATGTTCTTGTTGGGTCAGCATTCGGAAAAAAGCTCTTTGAATAGCTTGGTGAGGAAATCTAAAAGCAAAACATACTGGTGACATCTGTATTAACATGATTTCTACTAAGACAAGGAATAGTAAGGGTTAGAATCTGTTGGCACTGTTCCATCTTTCTAGACTATCGTGCTACATTGTTTATTGAGTAGTCATGAGAATCAAGGTAACGTGTGTGTGTGTATGTGTGTAAATTTGTGTGGGTTTGAGTTTTTGTATATTGACTTATCTTATATCCTTGTCACCATTGTTTTTCCAGACTAACCCAAATCATTCCAGGGATGTTAACGCCACAGAAGAGCTTTCTAAACATGGGTATGATTCGTAATGTGTTATTTGTTGCTTCATTAGCTACTGAAGAGGTTCGGAGCAAGCAAGGGACTGCCCTGAATGCAGGAATGTCAATTTTTGATTCGTTCGATTCATTTCTTTATTGTTGACTGATTATCTAATTTTGACCCCACAGCAATCGGAACATAACACGCGTTCTCAGTATGTTTGCATCAAAAGGAAATATAGAGGGGCTTGTGTCATGGCTATGTCGTACTGATCATGAATACGCCTACGCTGTCCATCTCTAATAACTTCTGCTGCTAACGCAGGTGCTGATACATTAAGAAGCTCGTGGACCTATAGGGGTTCAATATTTGATACCTATTATCTTAGCAGTGTTAATTCACAGGGCCCCCATAGTTGGTGTTCTTGTATTCAGTACGCCGGCTTTCATATTAACGTTTACCCTTGCATAATAAGGCGACAGAAACAGTTCAATTATATATAAGACATTTCCATCGACCACCCACATCACACACATTCGAACATAACCTAATGAAGATGAGACTCAAAATCTATAACATGGCTTACGTATAAATGCCCAAACCCGTGAGTTGCAGTAGACATGGTAATAGTAGCATGTACAAAGTAATGTAGAGAAGAATTCCAGGGTAAAGTCCGGAGTATTCCCTTCTTTACGCTATACAATAAACACCTCTACTGTAGTTTACACAGCAAAACGGACGAGAGGTTGCACCACAGTAGACGGGATGTTCCCGTGTAGGTAATATAGTCAGCCAACAGGATCAATTAAAAATAGTCAAGAAAATTACTCACCAGCACTAAAGATCAAATGTACAGATGGGCCGAATATTTAAAACTAGTTCTGTATAGATCAGCTTCAGAAATTCCTCCAGATATCCAGCTTTTAGAAATGGAACTGTATATTGACTGTGATATACCATCTAAAGAGGAAATTAGAAAAGCTATCAATCTTCTAAAGGAAGGAAAGGCGACAGGTCCAGATGGTATCCCAGGAAAAGTTATTAGGCCAGTACAAATGCATCGATGGAATTGCTACATAGATTATTTAGTAAAGTCTGGGAGACCGAGGAAATACTAGCAGATTGGAGAGAAGCCTATCTTGTGAAACTAACTAAAAAATCATCTACAGGAGTGTTAGAACTATGGAGAAAGTATGTTGCTGATGTTCCTGGAAACATATTAAGTAGGATTATTTTAGAAAGACTAAAAGATGTTACTGAATAAAAGCTAAGAGATGAATAGGCCGATTTTCGGCCAAATAGATCCTGTACTGACCAGATATCCACATTATGTATAAAAATAGAGCAACATTGAGTTGAATTCACCTCTTACTTTGGATTCATAGACCATAAAAAAAGCTTTCGACAGCATTAACAGGGAATCTCTCTGGAAATTAAAGGTACATATGGAATTCCGAAGAAAATTATAACTTAGAAAAGGCAACAGATAAAGAATGAAATGTCGAGTTGTTCATGAGCGAAAGCTAGCTGATATATTAACAAAAAATTAAAACATGTGTGCAACAGAAATGTCATTTATCGTCTTTCCTGTTTTCTACTAGCAATAGATTGGTTTATGAAGAAAGCAACTGCTAACACCGGGAATTAAACTGAGTGGTCACCAAAAAAAAAAAAAAAAAAAACAGCTTGATGATCTGTATTTCACTTAGATATTTCTATTTTGTCGCTTTCACATAATTAGATGCAAGATAAATTAAACATACTTGATGCAGATCACAACAGCTAGGTCTGAAAATCCATAAGAAAAAGGTAAAGAAAATAAATCAGGCAATTAGTAATGCGGGTTCTCTTTATGGTATCTCACTCCAAAAGGTGGAGTCGTACACCCTCTTGGGCAGCAATGTAGGTAAACATGGGGGAACTGATAAAGATGTTCAGATACGAGTACAAAAAGCAAGAGGAGCTTTCCTAGCACTAGTGCATTTGAGGAAGTCAAAAATAAATTTTAAAGTAGTACTGAACTTACATTTGTTTTAAACTCTAAGGTCAAGTGAGCACTGCTGTATAGAGCAGAAACATGGAGAACAACTAAAGCAATAACTAATATGCTACAGACATTCATTAACTGGTGCCTGCGACGAATAGAGGGAATTAAATGCTATGACAGAGTTACTAATGTTGAGCTTTGGGGAGTACTGAACAAAATCTAGTGGACGAAGAGGTGAAGAAATTATGCCGGCGTTGGATATGACTCGTGCTGAGGAAACCTGAAACAGCATATCTAGAATGTATTTGCACTCGAACCCACTGGGCCATACAAATAAAGGCAGATTACGATCACACACACACACACACACACACACACACACACACACACAAACACACATGCACGCACGCACGCACGCACGCTCACACACACACACACACACATGGAGCAGGGAGCTGGAGAGTGAAGTTCAAACGAATAATGGGACATATGTGAACTGCTTGCAATAGCGAAGGATTGAACGACTTAGCGTAAGTTGATTGAGAGCGTATGCTCCATCGGGGAGTAGAAGCTAGATAAAGAGAGACAAAATATTTCACATTGAACACTATCTGACGTTGTATAGTTGCAGGCGCTAGGCATAAAAGGATCTAAAGTAAAAGCAAAAGATTCCGTCCTAGGAAAAAATGGATTGATGACATTAAAGAGCTTCTAAACAGACACAGAATGACAATAGCCATTGCATCCCATCAAGCAACGGATCGCAAGCTGTTTCTCCTCACAAACGCAACAGCAAAAGTGGAAACTGATGATGATAATGATGATGATGATGATAGTTCCATTATAAGACTTTAAAATTGAAAAAAAACTGTAGTTTATTTTAATTTTTAAAAATTATTGTTTATTATGGCCTCACAACGGATAACTGAAACAATAATGTTATTTTATATTTGTCGGCCCTGTGGCTAAGTCCATGCGAACTCTTCGTAATGCCGGGATATTGGGTTCGATCCCAGCTGCGGGCCATGTGCCTTGCGTTGGTTTCGACAGTGGTATCAAGAAAGCCGACCGTCCAGTAGCAATGGCATTTACTGGAGGTAAATTTCCCTAGAAAAACCACACAACAGCCAGGGGCTGTTGGGGTTGGTTGTACAACGTCCTGTAAAGGATACGCCACTAACCTTTGTTTCTATTTAATAAGCACATTTTTCTCTCCCCTTGGACAATTTCTAGTGTGAAGATACTCGGTGAGTCGTTTTTCTCTGCTAGACCAGGGTCCGAGCCAGTGTGGGCTGCACATATAAATTCTACACAACTGAGAGAGGCGGTTAATATTCGCATAAACTACCTGACTGGAATCACCAAAGGAAAGTAAGAACATTTAAATGACAGATTTAACATTTTATCGCGCTGCTTTCAAAACAATATTTTTGTAAATTTAACTATTGCTATAATCCCCTTCTCCACCCCCTTCCCACCCCCCCCCCCCCCCCCCCACCCTTTCCGTTTAAAAAAATGGCTTTTCTTTTGGGTCTTCTTCGCTCTTTTATCCCGTATAGTCTCTCTCTCTCTCTCTCTCTCTCTCTCTCTCTCTCTCTCTCTCTCTCTCTCTCTCTCTCTCTCGCTCTTTCTATTTCACGCAATATACATGTCTGTCTGTCTGTCTGTCTGTCTGTCTGTCTGTCTGTCTGTCTGTCTGTCTGTCTGTCTGTCTGTCTGTCTGTCTGTCTGTCTGTCTGTCTGTCTGTCTGTCTGTCTGTCTGTCTGTCTGTCTGTCTGTCTGTCTGTCTGTCTGTCTGTCTGTATGTCTGTCTGTCGATCGGTCTGTATGTATGTATGTATGTATGTATGTATGTATGTATGTATGTATGTATGTATGTATGTATGTATGTATGTATGTATGTATGTATGTATGTATGTATGTATGTATGTATGTATGTATGTATGTATGTATGTATGTATGTATGTATGTATGTATGTATGTATGTATGTATGTATGTATGTATGTATGTATGTATGTATGTATGTATGTATGTATGTATGTATGTATGTATGTATGTGTATGTATGTATGTATGTATGTATGTATGTATGTATGTATGTATGTATGTATGTATGTATGTATGTATGTATGTATGTATGTATGTATGTATGTATGTATGTATGTATGTATGTATGTATGTATGTATGTATGTATGTATGTATGTATGTATGTATGTATGTATGTATGTATGTATGTATGTATGTATGTATGTATGTATGTATGTATGTATGTATGTATGTATGTATGTATGTATGTATGTATGTATGTATGTATGTATGTATGTATGTATGTATGTATGTATGTATGTATGTATGTATGTATGTATGTATGTATGTATGTATGTATGTATGTATGTATGTATGTATGTATGTATGTATGTATGTATGTATGTATGTATGTATGTATGTATGTATGTATGTATGTATGTATGTATGTATGTATGTATGTATGTATGTATGTATGTATGTATGTATGTATGTATGTATGTATGTATGTATGTATGTATGTATGTATGTATGTATGTATGTATTTATTTTATATGTATGTATGTATTTATTTTATATGTATGTATGTATGTATGTATGTATGTATGTATGTATGTATGTATGTATGTATGTATGTATGTATGTATGTATGTATGTATGTATGTATGTATGTATGTATGTATGTATGTATGTATGTATGTATGTATGTATGTATGTATGTATGTATGTATGTATGTATGTATGTATGTATGTATGTATGTATGTATGTATGTATGTATGTATGTATGTATGTATGTATGTATGTATGTATGTATGTATGTATGTATGTATGTATGTATGTATGTATGTATGTATGTATGTATGTATGTATGTATGTATGTATGTATGTATGCATGCATAGATGCACGCATGCATTTATGTATGTTTGTGTGCTGCATGTGTATAATTGTAATACATCAATGCATGTTGTTATCTACACAATACACGCTGAAAATTGTTATCTGTTAACATTACCTGTAAATCACATATGTCAAGTGTCTTCAAACGTAGAAGCGTGAATTATACTAAAAAAAAAAAAAAAACATTCAGTTATAAAGTAACATATTTGTTTGGATCTATTACTCATTACACCACTTATCTAGTTGTAATACTGCACAAACTATCATCGTGTGCTCTGTCAATTCCACAGAGTCGACCGGTGGATAGTTAATAACCAGCTGCTGCATGGCAGATATTACGAGGACAGACTGGGAGATAAACAATTTTCACAGCAATTATTCAAAGCAATCGGCGCCGCCGATCCATTTGCTGAATTGATCCTCAATGATTTGGACGTTGTTGCTACAGGAAACCATAATCTGGTATTGTATTATTTTAAAACTTTCTATGAAACGTTAGCTTAATCTGTGCGCAGAATAAATGGGAGTGTTGAGATATTTACAGAACACGATTCTTGTAATTTACTACAAAACTACATATGATGGATCGAGATAAGCCCGAAAAGAAGTTTGGTCGAATAAAAAAAAAACCCACTTGCGAATGACAAATTCAACTTCCTAGAAGGTCTTCATTAGCATTGATGAGAGGGAGGAGAGAGAGAAGAGTGGGATAGAGGAGATAAGAAAGAGAGAAAAGTGGGAGAAAGAGAGAAGAGAGAGTGGGAGTAGAGAGGATAGAGAGGAGAGAGAAGAGTAAGATGGAGCAGAGAGAGGAAAGAGAGAGAAGAGAGACGATACCGAAAGAATTGAGTGAGAGAGCAGAGAGAAGAGTGAGAGAGGAAAGAGAGGGCAAAGGGAGAGGAGAGAGATGTATAACTTCGACACAGCCTTGCGTGGGTACCGGATGCAGTACCGGGAAGTGAGGACGGCCGGCGTGAAGCTGACAACACCACCCATCTTGTGCCGATTCGTCTATAAAAATATAGGTCTAGCCCTATATGCCCTATACGTCTAAAGGCGTGGAAAAGGGACCTTTACTTTTAATTTTATTTATACCTAAAGTAATTCTCATATGAATTTTTGGAATAAACATAGATTTCAGCAGTGTCCAATGTAAGCACACTGAACGAAACAACGTGAATACATTTATATTAGTTCAAATATTGAAGGAAGCCATTTTTGCTCAAAATATTTATTGAAATCGTATTCTCGTTACATCTACCCCCACCCCCACCCGACCACTCTCACCCATTTTCACCTCCGATTCTTCATTCTGTTGTGCATTGTCATTCTTCTTTCAAAATGCTCATAAACTAATTGTTGTTTTCCCCTTCTTTGTGCATTAGTTCCAATTTTTACATGAAATACTTCTTACTGTTCCTAAAGAAACATTTGTCTAAAGTATACATTCTTTGTTAATGTAAAGATGTTTGTGACTAGCACACAATATTTTATGAATGTTCTTCTGTAGGGGTATGTTGACCAGATCAATGCCTTCAAAGAAGCCAATGTTGGACTAAAAGGTGTGGGCATCATAGGTCGGTTTGCGGACAATATTAAACCAGACATAACCCTTGTGAAGGTAAAGCTTTCATTCACCAAGCTATAAATTAAAGTAAAATAAATCAGTCACCCTTTTTTACGTTATGGAGAGCATTTGGTAAATAGTACTAGTCCAGATTACTGTTACCACCAATCGTCACTAGAATTATGATGTCAATATTAACTTCCCATAACACATCCTGGTCGGCCTTTGTGGCTTGGGCGTTCCAAACTCGCTTCGTAATGTCGGGGTGCCGGGTTCGATCCCAGCTGCGGGCCCTGCGCCTTGCGTTGGTTTCGACAGTTGTATTGAAAAGCTGACCATCCAGAAAGCAAAGGCAGGCTATTGGATGTTAACTTGCCTAGAAAATGCTGGGGTTGGTTCTGCAACGTCTTGTAAAGGAAACGCAACTAACAACAACAACACACGCTGGTATTCATTTTAATCTGTGCTCGGACAAGAATTACCAAGGCTTAAGTGGGTAACAGGTACATCCTGGGAATTAAAGGCGACCGGCGTGATGCTGACCACATCAATCACCGACTGCCGATTGGTCAATGAAATAAAGGTCTAGCCCTATGTGTCCAATAGGCCTGACGGCGTGAAATCTATCTATCTATCTATCTATCTATCTATCTATCTATCTATCTATCTATCTATCTATCTATCTATCTATCTATCTATCTATCTATCTATCTATCTATCTATCTATCTATCTATCTATCTATCTATCTATCTATCTATCTATCTATCTATCTATCTATCTATCTATCTATCTATCTATCTATCTATCTATCTATCTATCTATCTATCTATCTGTCTTTCTATCTATCTATCTGTCTGTCTATCTGTCTGTCTGTCTGTCTGTCTGTCGGTCGGTCGGTCGGTCGGTCGGTCGGTCGGTCGGTCGGTCGGTCGGTCGGTCGGTCGGTCGGTCGGTCGGTCGGTCGGTCGGTCGGTCGGTCGGTCGGTCGGTCGGTCGGTCGGTCGGTCGGTCGGTCGGTCGGTCGGTCGGTCGGTCGGTCGGTCGGTCGGTCGGTCGGTCGGTCGGTCGGTCGGTCGGTCGGTCGGTCGTCGGTCGGTCGGTCGGTCGGTCGGTCGGTCGGTCGGTCGGTCGGTCGGTCGGTCGGTCGGTCGGTCGGTCGGTCGGTCGGTCGGTCGGTCGGTCGGTCGGTCGGTCGGTCGGTCGGTCGGTCGGTCGGTCGGTCGGTCGGTCGGTCGGTCGGTCGGTCGGTCGGTCGGTCGGTCGGTCGGTCGGTCGGTCGGTCGGTCGGTCGGTCGGTCGGTCGGTCGGTCGGTCGGTCGGTCGGTCGATCGGTGGGTCGGTTGGTCGGTCGGTATGTCTGTCCCACCAGAAGCTACTAACCATTCGGCTACCCTCACCTGGTTTAGCTGAGCTGTCAAAACCGTTACCTGGCAGCTGGCCCCTTCCCCATGCTAGCACTACTAGGAGCCACACGTGAGAGCTATGTGCCCGGCTTTCACCAAAGGCAGGTGAGCTGTCCTGAAAATGACATGACAAGCACCCAACACCAGAGGTGCTATCAATACCTGGCACCCGATCCCCTAGACGGAATTACTGTTTTACGAAATTTTGTTTGTCTAAAAATTGTTTTCTGAACTGAATAAATATTTCATTTACGATGTATTGGCAACTACTAGTATCACATTCACATCTACAACACAACTGTTAATAGGGCCGTCTAGACAAACTGGCAGAGACAGGACTTCCTCTATGGATAACTGGGTTAACTATAGGATCCACCGATGTTCATGAGAAGGCAGATTGGTGAGTTTTGCTTCATATCTTTCTTATTGATTGTTTTCTCTGGCAAAAGATTATTTAGTTCCACTGAAGGTTTTTTTATTTTGCAGATTAGAAACCAAGAATAGTTGTTTAGCGGAATCTGCGAATTAACCCCAACATGAATATATATTTGTATATAACATTTAGTCTTAAAAACAAAAGCGAGTGGCTATTTTGAAAGAATGTATATTGAACAACGTTTGTCGCGAACTGAAAAACAGCGTCCTTGAATTAAATAATCAATAACTGAAACTCGATTCCTTGAATACTATATCTGTATATATCTGTGTCCAGGAATATCCATTTGCGTGAATATCTATATCCATGAATGTCGGCGAATGTCTATGTCCACGAATGTCTGTGTCAGTGAGTCTATATCCATAAATGTCGGCGAATGTCTATGTCCACGAATGTCTGTGTCAGCGAGTCTATATCCATGAATGTCGGCTAATGTCTATGTCCACGAATGTCTGTGTCAGTGAGTCTATATCCATGAATGTCGGCGAATGTCTATGTCCACGAATGTCCGTGTCAGTGAGTCTATATCCATGAATGTCGGCGAATGTCTATGTCCACGAATGTCCGTGTCAGTGAGTCTATATCCATGAATGTCGGCGAATGTCTATGTCCACGAATGTCCGTGTCAGTGAGTCTATATCCATGAATGTCGGCGAATGTCTATGTCCACGAATGTCCGTGTCAGTGAGTCTATATCCATGAATGTCGGCGAATGTCTATGTCCACGAATGTCCGTGTCAGTGAGTCTATATCCATGAATGTCGGCGAATGTCTATGTCCACGAATGTCCGTGTCAGTGAGTCTATATCCATGAATGTCGGCGAATGTCTATGTCCACGAATGTCTGTGTCAGTGAGTCTATATCCATGAATGTCGGCGAATGTCTATGTCCACGAATGTCTGTGTCAGTGAGTCTATATCCATGAATGTCGGCGAATGTCTATGTCCACGAATGTCCGTGTCAGTGAGTCTATATCCATGAATGTCGGCGAATGTCTATGTCCACGAATGTCCGTGTCAGTGAGTCTATATCCATGAATGTGGCGAATGTCTATGTCCACGAATGTCCGTGTCAGTGAGTCTATATCCATGAATGTCGGCGAATGTCTATGTCCACGAATGTCCGTGTCAGTGAGTCTATATCCATGAATGTCGGCGAATGTCTATGTCCACGAATGTCTGTGTCAGTGAGTCTATATATATTTGAGGATACGCTGAGACTATTCTTCAGTCACCCCTCTGTAGAAGGGATCTCACTTGTAGCTTTCTGGGATCATGAAGCCTATGCAATCAATGCTCTAGCTCATGGTTATTCATTCACGGTGAGGGTTTTGTTCTCCATTCTTGTTTTTATAGACATTTTAATGTTCTTACCTTGGTTTTTACTGCTCTAGCGTTGCTCACATCCTGTTTGCAAACATCGCTTCAAATGTCCTTTGGATATTTTCCAGTGGGCATGCAGGTGTGTTAGGAAACGAATCGACAGACTGAGTGGTTATTCACCACTCTGTGGTAAACTGACCCATGACAAGATAGATCAAGGCCTTTTGCCAGCGAATGAACTTCGCTAAGACCGGTCCTGAGCCCGGCTGTAAAAGGAGGAGGGTCTGGTTGAACTTAAGTGCTTTATGCGTCTCCGGAAGTAGTGGGTAGCCATGAATCAGCCAGACGGCCTTCATAGAGACCACAAGGAGGCAGTCCCTCTACCCTGAAAAGGCACAACAGGTCAATCATTTGTTTGCCTTAACTCTTTGTCCCAAGAAACGTATCGTACGTTCATGGGTTCCTAACTAGAAGTCCAATGAACGCAAGATGCGCCGATTTTACTTCTCTTTTGACTACCCCTTGGGCCTCTGATGCTAAACCCCATGGGACTCAAAGAGTTAAACTATGATTACCAGTTACCACAGAGAGAAAACCGGACAGATCTTAACGGCAACGAACTGGTATAGCTTACGGACTACTATTTACAGATCATGGAACATAAAAGGCATTAACTGAAAGGAAAACAAGTCAGTAGGGGACATGAGGAAAGCGAAATTAAAAGTCTTAGCTCTGACTGAAACCAAGAAAAAGGGGCCAGGAATCACAGATCACGATGGAAGTATGTTGCTCTACGGTGGTGTCCCTATAACGAAAAGAGTTAAGGAACTTGTTGGCTGTATTGGGACCAGGAATCAAGCTGGTAACATCAAGGGATGGAAATTAATCTCGGTGCTAATTAGATCTGAGAAAAGAAGATACAATTGTCAATATTATCATTGTGTTCAGGCCAAATAAAGACGTGCAAGTAGATGTCAAACAAGAATTCTTTGAACTGCTCCAAAGAACCATTGATGACTGTCACGATGAAATTATCCTCCTAGGAGATCTAAATGCTAGAGTATGAAATGATCACTCTAAATGGAGTGAAGTGATCTGGAGATAAGGTGGAGATGTTTTGAATGATAATGGCAAGCGACTTCTCAGATTCTGCAGGGAACAGAACATTGCCATTATAAACACAATATTCCCCCACAAACGTATACAAGCGTACACAAGATATGAACCTTCATAGAATGATAAATCCATCGTTGACCACGCCATAGTAAGGAAAAGTTCATTTAAGTTTGTTAGAGATGCCAGAGTCATGAGAAGACCAGAAATAAAGTGACCACCATCTGGTCACAATAAAGAGAACAACTGACAGAACTGCTCCAACAAGGCAACACTGACAAGCATGCAAGAAACCAAGCAACCGAGGTGGAATGAGGATTAAGGCATACAAGCTAAGAGAGCCAGATATTAGGGCTAGACCAGGAGCTTATAGTGAAAGCAATAGGAGCTGAAGAAGAACCATCAGAGGAGACTGAAACCCTCTGGTGCAGATTCAAGAATATCCTCACAGCAGCTGCAGTAGAAGCATGTGGTGAAATTCCAAGTTGACGGTGAGGACAAAGGACACCTTTGTGGACGGAGGAAATCAAAGTAAAAATAGGATAAAAGAAAGGACATGGAAGCAATACCGGGTAGCCAAGAAAACAGCTGAAAAAACAGAGGAACATAAACAATATGTGGCACTCAGAACACAGGCCAACAATATAGTGCTTAATGCAAAGGCGAAATCATGCTAAGAATATGGGAAAAAATATGGAAAAGAATGCAAGAGAAAATCAAAAACTGTTCTAAAAGACCCTCAAGAACACTAGGAAGGAGAAAGACTGCCCGCTAAAATTAATCAAAGACAAGGAAGGTGCTCTGCTTCCTACTACAAATGGTAACATGGACAGATGGAAAGAATACTTCTCAGAGCTCCTAGGTGTCTAGGAAAGACATGACCCAGAAATAACGGACCTCACTACTGAGAAGGAAATCATCCATGGGGTTGATAACATCAAGATGGAAGAATTGTATGCAGCTATTGAAAAGATTAAGCTGGATAAAGAACCAGAGATGGTCATATATTTGGGAGTAGCAGGTGAGCGCCTTCTACTGGAGGTTCTCCAGGCAGTCCGGTGTAGCAAAACTATACTGAAAGATCGGGAGTTGCTACAGCATACATATACTTAAAAAGGGGGATAATAAACAATGTGGAAACAACAGAGGCGTATCTCTCATCAGCGTCCCTGGTAAAAAATTACGCTAGAATTCTCGAGCGGAAACTTAGTAGTCTGGTAGAACCACAGCTGGATCAGGCTAATGCGGCTTCAGAGCAAACCAAAGTACTTAAGACCAATCTTCTCTCTGAGACAGATGAGTGAAAACGCCCTTGAATATAAGAGTGAGATGCACCTATGTATTTTGGATCTAGAAAAAACATTTGATGGTACCCTGGAGCAAGCTCTGGGACTGCTTGGCAGGGAAAAACACCCCAGCTCACATTATCAGTGCAATACAGTTTCTACAAAATTTGCAGAAATTATGTGAGAACAGCAGACCAAAAGTCAGAAGAATAAAAGACCTCTAGCGGTGTTAGACAAGGTGATATTATCTCATCTTACCTCTTCTTATGATGGATGATGTCATCAAGACCTGTAAGGAGAAGACAAAGAAGTACTTAGTAGGGTACCGGAAGATAAGACTAATCTGTTTATCAGAGCTGGCATTTGGAGACGATGTTGCCCCGATAGCTAAATCAGAGGCACACCTTCAGTCCAACTTACTTGTCTGGAAGGAAGAGCTTGAGAAAAGAGGGATGACTATCAGTATCTCCAAAACTAAAACCATGGTGATCTCAAGTGAGAAGAAGAAACACCAGATTATGATGGGACAGAATGCACTGGAGTTTTATTAAACCGAAACAGAGGCATTAAGACCGACTTGCTACATGAAAAGCAGCTGCTAGGAGACTCTTCCAGGCCATAAACCGAGGGTTTCTTGGCAAAAGAGAAATAGGCAAGAGGACACAAATAGCTGCTTACCGCTCTACCTATTTACCAGTCCTGACCTATGGGTGGGCGTCATAGGCAATGACAACATATTACAGAAACCAGCATAAGGCCTCAGAAATTAGATATCTGAGAAAGTGGTCTAAGTGACAAGAGGTGACAAAGTCAGCAATCAGACAATACGTACAGATATTGATACCCAGCCCTTGCAAACCCGAGTGGATCAGTCACATTTACGATGGTTTGGACACGTAGGCAGAATGGAAGAAAATCGGCCACCATGGCAGGCATAGGAGGCTAAAACCCAAGGAACCAGACATCCAGGGTGACCCCTCGTCCGCTGGGAAGACAACATTCGACAGTCCCTAACTGATAGAGGACTGGAATGGAACAAAACCAGAAAGAAACTGCTGATAGAGATGTTTGGCGATCTCTCTGGCAAACCTCTACACCCCAAGATAGAAGAAGAGCGACTAAGTAAGTAAGTAAGTAAGTAAGTAAGTAGTACTAAGTGAACAATGCAAAGGCACAAACAAATAATTACGGTTTAAACTGAATGGAGCATCGGGAAGTGACCAATATAACTTTTTATTACGGCATTGTTGTGTGCGTATTTTAGCTAAACAAGCAAATATTTTTGCACCCCCATAGAATGTAATTTAAAGTAGTATAAATATTACACAAAATAAAAGTAGTTAAATAAATACAACTGTAAGAAATATCAAAGTAGATAAAATAATGCTACTATAAAAACGAGATTAAAATTAAAGCAAAACAAATATGAAAGAGTTATTAAGAAGCTAAGAAGTATACACAATCATAAAAGTGAAGTTAAAAACAGTTAAAATAATACAGAGACTAAAAGCAGTTTAAGTAAAACAGCTATGAAACAGGTCGGAACACGACAAGTGTTATAAAGCTGCAAACTAGAAATTTAAAGTAGTTAAAGTAATTCATCTATTAAAAAAAAAAAAAGATTAAACGTAAAGTAATACAACTAAAGTAGCATCAGCAAAAACATGGCATCAAAGGTTGGACTGCAAATAAGTTATGAAAAGACAGATATACTGAAGACACCAATAACTGATCAAACAGATGTATGCTAGAGATAAAAGGAATACAAGTAACAGATTAATTTACTTTTTTAGGTAGTAATTATGAAAGTGAGGTAAATTTAAAATAAAATTATGTCACGCATTAACAAGGAATTGGCAGCTTTCAAAAGCCTGACAAAATATGGAATTCTACATTATAAAGATTTAAAAACAAGTTATGTATTTTTCAGTTCTAATGTTATTTCAATTTTCAACAAATGCCAGGAAAAGTTGGAGACCCACTAAGGACACGGAACCAAGTTAGATACATTTGAAAACAACTACCTGAGGAAAATGATAAATATCAAATGGGACGAAGTAAAAGGGGTCAAGAAATAAGAGAAAAGTCTCGACAACCACTGGTATCGACTTTTATATGACGCTTTTTCACGACGACTAACTGACTTTACCCAACCAGAACATCTCAATGAGTGATAAATACCCGGTGACACTTGTGTCACTATTCGGATGAGGATCACCCGTGAGGAGGTCCCAGAAACCCCGTTTAACTGTTAGGCTATATTAGGGCCCCCGGAAGCCACTAGGATGGGGCTTCAAAATATGTCCCACATAAGTACGAAGAACAGATGACGCTATAAGAAGGCGCTATATTGGACATATCCTGAGAAGAAACGAGCGGAGAATTACCTAAGAGGTATTAAAATGGGAAACAAAGGGATTATGGAGGTGAGAACGCCGGAAAGAAACGCTACAACTAAAGTTGATGAGAGAGACCAAAGTGTTGTACTGGATTCAATCAACAGAAGGGTAGAATGGAATTGAGGAATATAATGCGAGCCCTATATGACATATAATAAATGGCACAACATGATAATGCACGAATGAACGAGTGTATACAAGTACAAAGTAGAAATTACACGTAATTAAAGTAAAACAACTATGAAATAGACTTGAAGAAGTTCTGTGTTTTATATTTACTCGAGTAGTGAAAGTAACACACATGTAAGGCAGCGGTTAAAAGTAATTATACAGAGTAATACAGTTATAAAATAGAGCCAACAATCAGGGCACTAGTTAGGCCTGTGCAACGTGTGCTGCTACGCGGGTAGGGAAGGGGGGGGGGGTGGGTGCACATTTTGGGGGCAGCACAATTTGAGGCCAGCGCAGCAAAATATAGCAGTTTAGGTTACTCTAATATATGTATGGGCTATTAAACAGTTGTGATTATTTTCTGAGTGTTTACCATACATGTTTTTTTCCCTCAACGTAATTTCTAAACTTTCAACTTGCATATGTACTTTACCTGGTATGTATTCAGTGAGATTTACATACTTCCGAGTGTGTTCTCGGTCCTCTGGTCATGTGAATATACCCCTGCGTGCTCAGATGCAGCAGCCACTCCAAGGTACCTCTACAGATAGTTTCCATGAGGAGTTGGTTATAATATCTCCTTTCTCGGTCTGGAAGGCAGCATTGATTTGTTTCACCATGCATTGCTCTGAGGTCACATAATCGTGTAAGTGTCAGAGATGAAAAGTAGTCAAAGGCATGCAGCTATAAGGCAAAGATTAGAGACTTCTCAAAATGTTTACTGGTATCAGTTTTATTCGTATTGAACTTTTTTGTTTTGTTTTTGCTATGATAGATAGAGCCTGTGAGCACTAAATGGACAGGCAAATGTTTTAACCACTGCGGCTATCACTATATTACTGTTCTATTTTGGTTTGTTTCTGTAGCTAAATGAGGCTGGCAAGCGGTACCAGCGGTTGCTCAAACAAGATTGGAGCACTCACGTGACACAATCTCTGACGTCAGGCACTTCTTTCACCGTAAGAGGTTTTCATGGAGACTACGCTGCGGTGGTGTACTACAAGGGCAAGCCGTTACAGCGATCTTCATTCACTCTGGGGAAGGCTGACAGGACCGTCACAATTGACGTGACTTCAACCACAAGTTAGTGATAATTATTCAATTAGGAAAACAAGTATAAGACCAATGTCACGCCAATGGCATAAGGTGCCAGACGCATATTTTTGTAGAGCAATCGGCACTTGATGAGTGATGAGGAGACCATTCCTGACTGCAGTCTCTACTTCACGGGACTTTACACGGTACCCACATTTACTTAGATCTTTGTTTTTATTTTTACTTTTATTCGATTCGATAAGGACTTGGGCTCAAGACATTTAAGCCTAGCAGGTGAGCATTTAGCAGCTGCAACACCAAGGCTCTCAACAAATGAATCATCATTTTGCGAAGTAACGATAAGCATGCCATCCCACCATAAGGTAAGAATCACGGAGCACTACTTTTCTAGCCCATCCATGTGGCGAAGTTATCCAGAGATTTATCGCTTCGCCTTTCCTTTCGCTCTCTTTCCATCAATCTTACCAGATATTACCAAATTCTGGAGTCCATTCCTTCTCATAACATATCCGAAAAACAACGTCTGTTTATTTCTAATTTTTATATCAGCTTACGACGTCCATCTGTCTCGATGAAGACTGCAGTTTGTTTTTCTATTCTCTCATGTCATGCTCGGCACTTTCCTCAAAAACCCATCTCAGTTGCATGTATATGGTTTTACTCTTGTCTGAATACTGTTCATTTCTTACATGTGTATAGCAACACAAATTCTGTATAACAATCTTAACACTCTTTCCTCATCTTCCGTTTGATGAGTATCTTTTGCAGCTTGCTCAAGGCCAGTTTTATCATAGCGATTCTTTGTGTTATTTCTGCAAGGCATCTTGCGTGAGGCGTCATGACTGTTCCAAAAGAGTTGTATACATTCACTTAAGAATTCTGAGAATGTTGCACTTTATTTTGTTAATTTGTTGTTTAAACAATAAAGACGCAAAAACATTGCACAGTCTAATGTGTTACATATTTGCTGTCACTCAGGTGCAATATGTCAGGTGCCCCATATACAAGTATACAGATTACCACAATAAACATTTTTAAGCTGTTTCTCATTATTGATTTTCGAGCTACATTTGCAAAATGGAAAGACAGCTCTAGCTATATCAGCCGAAAAGTTTTTAAGAACGATCTGCATCTAACATTTTTTAAAACTTCTTGCAAAATAAATATTCCTACAAAGTCAGAGGATGTATTTGTTAGATAGTGTCTAAGCTCTATATGGCTACCGACATAGAAGTAAGCGTAACATTCAATAAACATTGTTTTGCTAGTTTTACTTGAAGACTTATTATTAATATTAAGACTATTAACTGTTACGTGTATTTGTGTGTGTGTGTGTGGAAATATCTCTGAAAAATGTACTATAGAATTCTATAGAAAATCATTAACCTAATAAAGACAGAATACGAGGGTATTAAATGCAGAGTTGAGTATGATGGTAACTAAATAATACGTTTGAAATAAGAACCCGTGTTCGACATAGATGCATTTCGTGCGTCCTTTATTATTACTGACCAGGGACTGAATTCTAGAGCTTAGATTTATAGCACTCCCAATGAAGGATATACAAAGTAAAGTAAACTACTCTGTGTATTTCCTATCAGCGAGCATATGATGCTTGCTTCCTGCTTTTATTCACAAATGAGGACTCAAACAATGAGGCCATAAGTGTTACTCTAGCAGCGTTTACTTCCTTGAGTATTTTCCTGTGTTCCCTTAAACATAGTCAACCAGGTCAGTTTAAACGTTTCGTGTGTGGTTGGAATACATAGCCATCGTGCCTGCATTCAAGCGTGCGACATGCTGAGAAACGGCGATTCCTACTAAGTATCGGTAAGCAAGAACTAACAAAATATTAGTGCAGCAAAGGATGGGGAAGAAACGCTGATACTTGATAGGACACATACTGATAAAACCCCAGATATTAGGACTAAAATGTCTTCAGCATGGAACATGCAGTGCCAGAGGTATCATAATCTAATTTTTGTTTTGTTTTAGTAGTATGTAGTAGAATCTATGTAAAATGTTCTACTATATTCCTTAAAGCAATTCAGCTGCCACCAATTGTTGATCCATTCGCACCTCAAGACATTGACTTTGCTACTTCAAGCTTGAACCTGCAGACAATAGGTCACGGCACTTCCACGTCACAGTCTCAACAGCTCCAGTGTGTTTCTCGAAGATCAGCTGTGTCTGAAGTAGGAGATGAAAAGACAGCCACCGTTAGTTGCAACGCTGGAGAGGTTCTTACAGGGTGCTCAAGCTTTTCAACTGTGAGAACTTTTTAAAATCTTTGCTTGTAACCAGCTAGTTTTTTAAATTCAGCTTTTATAAGAATTTTCTTGGACGTTTTATCAGCCTCTCTCTTTTCTTCCATGGTTGCCGTAAGCATCGTCATATAAAACCATCTTTAAAAAGTTATACATACCTTGCCGCGAATTATTGCTATAAAACCCTGAAAATCTAGTTGTGTTTTTAATCCACAATATTCCATGCTGCCTCTCTCTCTCTCTCTCTCTCTCTCTCTCTCTCTCTCTCTCTCTCTCTCTCTCTCTCTCTCTCTCTCTCTCTCTCTCTCTGTCTCTTTCTGGTAGCTGGTATAGAATTATAGAACCAGCACGATATATCTACTATGCAACATTCACAATCGCTGAGTATGTAACTTGAACTAAATGGATATTTTTGGTTTCCAATCCATCTTCAGAACAATGACTGGCAACGAGATGGTGAACAAGTGACTTTTGTAAATGGAAAGGCTGTTTGTACAGCATTCAACGGATATTATTCTTCTGCAGGTGGGTATATTGATTCCTAACTACAAGCTTTTTAAGCATTGTGTATTTGTTCGTGTATTCAGAACAATTATGATGTTCATGTCATGTTCCATATCGTTTTTAGTTGGGATGCTCAGCATTAAACTCCCCCGTGTCTTACTGTGCAAGAGTTTATATATTTAAGCATTAAAAAAAAATAGATTCATAAAAAATTGCACTAGAAACATGGGATCTGTAAGCTACAGATGGGAAAATTGGGAATGGGTGAAATGAATGAGCGCGGTGTAAGAATACTAGAATTTGCAAACAGCTGTGAATTCGTACTTAAAGTAGATTGTTCTCTAGCAAAGTGTCTAGAACAGTGGTCTGTTACTTGGAGAGGGTGTGTGTGTGTGCGTGTGTGCGCGTGTGCGCGTGTGTGTGTGTGTGCGTGTGCGCGTGTGTGCGTGTGTGTGTATAGGTGGGTGGGGGTGGGGGTGTGTGCATGCGTGCGTGTGTGTGTGTGCGGTGTGGTGTGTGTGTGGTGTGTGTGCGCGTGTGTGTGGGTGGGTGGGTGGGGGTGGGGGTGTGTGGGGGGGGGGTGTGTGTAAAAAAAGGGTGGGGGGGGGAAGTTACGGGACTTACAATCAAATTTTGAGCAGGCATTCTCTTGCAGATAGATTCATTTAACTCTCATTCTTCACCGTCGAACACACTGTTCTATGATCGAAAACAAGACTGAGTATTTCAGATCATTTTCAGCTTAAATAATCTGTTTATATGGAGTTCTCCAACATTCGAAGCAGGATTCCCGCGTCCCCTACTTCGGCACGCTTTAGTCAGCCTGCACGTTTGTAGCGTCTTATTGATGATACATCCTACTTGATACCTTTCAACTCATTTAAGCACATAATTTATGTTTAGTATCTAACCTTATTTCTTAATGTGAACATTCATTAACTAGGAGATAATGAATCATTACGGTACCCACATTAGAATACTTAATGAAGACGAGTTTCTTTCTGTGACACGGAAAAAGCAGCACAGCTAGCATTTTAGTCAGTCCTGGACAATTTTCGTGAAACAACATTGAAACAGTGAAATTATAGAAAATCTGTTTTTGGAGTGTAAGAGTCCTGGCTGCAATATGTCATTGAAAATTTATTTTCTGCATTCACATCTGGATTTCTTTATGCCAAACTGTAGAGCTGCCAGTGATGAAGACGGTGAACGATTTCACCAGAATACTGCTGCTATAGAGACATGGTATCAAGGCAACAGAAGCTCTTCTAGGCTTGTTTTTTACTGTTGGACTGTGACAATACACAACTCATCGTTTGACTGCTTTGAACAAGCAATGGATTAAATTTATCCTTTTTAAAACAATATATGTGAACTTCAAAAAATGTTTTAGTGTTTCTATCACTTTATTTTGAAATATCTTTTACTTCAATATATGAACAGAATTTTTGTAATGCTAAAATGGAAATATTAACTGTTTATCCCAAAGAATTACAAATAAGCACACATTATTTGTGTTACTTTAATATAACTTGAAATTAAAAAAAACTATTTTTTTTTTTTAAAGTAATAATTTTAGAAAACCCAAAGGGGGTTTGGTGAATTCGAATTTTTTGTTTGAAATTAGCATGTCAACGTCAAAAAGAAATTGTGTATTTAGGTTCTGAAATTAATAACAGGAGAAATCTTTTGATTAGTGTACCAATGGAAAAAAAAAACACTGGGATTTTCCCTGGTTCTGGCAGTAGTAATATGCCAAATTAACTGTGATATACTAAAAGAGTAAGGGATATACTACAACCCTCCCCCTCCCCGCTCCCACTTGAACAGAAGTTAGTACGTTACGGTGTGTGTGTGTGTGTGTGTGTGTGTGTGTGTGTGTGTGTGTGTGTGTGTGCGTGGTTCTCCAATATAATGCTGCTCTGTGGCTATACGGTTGAACACTTTCTAGGACTTATACCTGTATGTTATCATCCTTAAGATGTTAATCCTACGGCCTGCAATCTGAAAGTAGGAAAACCATATAAAAAATGTGTGCTCCCCCCCCCCCCCCCCCCCAACACACATACACCCGATTTACTCCCAAAGCAAAACAAATAACTTCGATAGCAGATTAACTGTGGCACCTGAAAATCATTAGTGGGGAAAAAAAAGACTTTCAAACGTATGGCACAGCAGCAGTATGAATTAAAAAAAAAAAAAAAAATCAGGATTTGGACGAAACCAAAGAAGGCTGTTTAAATAACCAGTGTGAGCCAAATTTCTAATAAAAAATATTAACAAATAAATATTTAGAATAGGGTAAATAAAAAAAATTATACCTTAAAACGGGCAACTCGTTACGGAAAACTCGAATATCCCAGTGGTTTAAAAACAACACTAATGAAAGCAAGATTTCAAGAAGACTCGACAGTATTAACCACAACCACGGTGCACATTAGATATTTTAAGGGCGCGTTGTTTTGGAAACAGGCATGGGACATAGAAGTATGGACAGGCTGAAAGTCTTTTTGGCGTAAGTTGTGATGAAAAAGACCTCAGAAACATACTTGCAACACACTGCAAACTGATAATTATTATTTTATTTGTCTTCGTTGTACACCCCCCCCCCCCGCCCCCACCTTCCCCCTCCTCAATTAACATTTACGAGAAAGCCAAAACATTACTAAAAACATGTAAAATTTCCATTGATTCCTACCGTCAACCAGGTGTCCAAGCAGAAGCACGATGCTGCAGTCTCAGAACTCTTCAATGCCGATACAGAACTGCCGGCCCGTCAGGTACCGGAGAACGGGATGAGGTCATTATTCCCTGCGCAGATACAGAATATCCACTTGGTAAGAATCGAGGGCACGGGAGTAAGAGGTAGGTAACGTTACAAGTGGGAGGACAACATCATCAAGAGATTGACGAACAGCAGTCTGAGAGAGTTAACAACCAAGCTAAGTGTGCTGGAGATCCATTGTAGCTAACCCTCGTTGTGTAGACGGCAAATGATTACTAGATACATGCATGGGATGACCAGTTGTATCCCAAGCAATCATTTACGGAAAACAATTGTGAAATTAAATGAACACCGCATGGCTGTGATTGTAGGAAAACATCAATTTCTACCATTGTCGGAGATTTATTCTTCTTCTTCGCTTTCACCAGCTGTAAATACCGGTGGACAGTTTTAGTTATTTGTCCACTTCTAGACTTTAGTCTTGTTACAGATTGTCAGCACATTAGTTTACAGATCGGACTTATTTGTGTGCAGACTGTTGGTACTCTGCCTCTAAGGCAGATGCATTTCGACTAAGAGGAAAACCCCTGATATATATTTATATATTTGGCATGCTTGTTAGGGAGGCAGTGAATATATTCTTGTATTTTGTTTTTACATTTTGTCTCCAACAATGAGGCCCCTGAACCCACACTAGGAGTCTGAGCTTTAACTAAGGACCACTGTTTAGTTTAACCAATTTCTAGCATCAAGACTACAACAGGCCCATTGAGATAACGAGTGATGTATTAGGCTTTGAGGTTTTAGATGTTTCAGAACACAATTTCGCGATTAACTGAAATCATAATTGCTATACATGCAACTAGTGTTGTCAATCCCTTCACATGAGGGATACACTGAGCGTGTGTGTATGTGTGTGTGTGTGCATGTGTTTGTGTGTGAATGAATGTGTTTATGTGTTTGTGCATGTTTGTGCGGTGTTTGTGTGAATAAGGAAAAATGCAAGTACTTAGAAAATATAATAATGTGCAGTGACTTTGATCTGTTGACCAGCATTATTGGTTTACGCATGTTTTCCCCTCTCTAACCTCCTTAGGCTGTGGTACATGGACATTTGAAGCTGAGTCCGCTGGTACAATTTTCACAAGTACCTTCTGTGTAGGACAAAATGATGATATAGTTGTTGGTAAGTATTTTAAATCAATATATCGGAATGCCTCATTCGAGGTGTTATCGAAGGTTTACCACCTAGGGACTGCAATAAAACAATATTATCAGGTACCTTTAACTGAAGTTTTTGTCTGCCCACCCGGAGGTTTTTAGTTCAAATTCCCATCGAATCAGGTTTTTATCATTAACTTATTACTACCATGCTGACATGCTTTTAAAGGAAAGACGACCGTTTGACGTATCCCACTTCACATATTAGGTATTATTTTGTCTTTCAAAACAAAACAAAAACAACAAAAACAGAAAATGGATCTAGCATAGTGTGGCTCATTCGCCAGTGACGTTAAACATGTTCTTGACTACTTACTTAGACAATTGGGGGGGGGGGGGGGGGGAGGGGGCTGAGTGATCACGAAACAGGGCGCCCGCCTCGAGTGCTGGAAGTACTGGTTTCAAGCCCCGGTGAAGGCTAGTTTTTTTTTTTTTTTTACGTGGGATTCAAGTTTCCCATTGTCTCTGGGTAGTAATATCGGACGCCCGTGTATATTGTTGCGCACGTACAAAGTTCCTTGGCAGTTGGAAATCGAAAAGAGTAGCCTAACGGCGCTGCCCAGGCACAATTTTGATTTGAAATTCTACACAAAGTATTTCAGGATCCTCGCCAGTGCTAAGAAGTTTGTGCACTGTGCTGAGATTTTTCGGACTCAGGCTTGAGTTGGAAGTAGGACGGTGCATTTATGGGTTACTTCCCTTGTGCCATGATGATCTGTTGCTCAAACCAATCATTTCCAGACAATTCTGAAACAAAATCATTTTTTTTTTATAATCACTTCTAGGATTCTCTGTCGACATAAAAGCAGAATTGCGTAGTGGATTGTAACTACTCAGCTATATCTGCACATTTCATTTTAACAAACCCATGTGTAGTCGACTATAAACGAAATGCTTTTCTACTGGACACCAGAACACGCACGCGAAAGATGGTTTTTTTTTTTTTTTTTTTTTTTGCGAATTTGTTACCATCTGTATCATGAACATCCACAGGTAAAAGCTGTTGTATTATATACATTATGTGAATTTCATTTGGAATTGTTTCCTCTCTTGTCTTCGAGACGGTAGTATTTTGTGAACTATGCTGAAATTTTGGGTGACAGATTACGTGCGGAATGGCATGCACTTATATGCAGTATTGTGTGTGCAATTGGCTTGAGTTAGCTGCTTTTTGGTGGAAGACTTGTTAATGTTAGTACATATGACGACCACCTTATGCATTTACTATACAGCTTGCAGGGGCTGACATATGTTTTATTGGGTTTAAAATGTATCAGTCAAGGACATTGTTTGTAATTTCTACTGGCACGGGAACTGATCAGTCATGGGGAGATCCGTCTGCAGTGAAGTCGGACTAACGACTAAAATCGTAATGAAATGTCTAAACACATAGGGCGTAGTTTTCCCAGTAAAACTTATTCTGTATATGTTCCTGATATCGGCAGTCATTACTGTTCCCGCACAGGACTCGGCATTTTGACAACCATAACCGCTGTTAAATAATGTAAACTATTGCTATGGTGGCTCAGCCAATAAAATATGTCGATAAGAAATTATTTATAAGGGTAATAGTTTGAGCACAGAATGTGAGAATGCAAATTAACATTTACAAGCAAGCTGAAAAACTAGGTGTGTGAGATATTTCTTATCTCATTCTAAAAACTTCTTAGCGGAAAATACAAAAGCGGGTAAGTTTGGCCAAATACTATGGAGAGGACTACATCAAGAATCAATTAATTAATCGCTGATGTTGGATAGGTATTGTGTGCTAACCTAGGTGTAACAACAACAAACAACACACCGTCAAGTGTCCCGGGATGCAGTTCTCGCTTCCACAACTCTCAGGAGAACAACGGCGTAATGTCCGCCCTACATATATGTTTATTGTCACGACACAGAGGGTGATCACTATCTCTCACACATAACATTTAAGCGAAGTGATGTATACATCTGTCCTGGCAGAAGATAAGCAGAGTTATAGGTTAATCATATAGGGAGAGCTACACAAGTTTGCCATAGAAAGGAGGCTTTATCAGGAGTTGGCTTATAGTCTATGGTCTACCGTGGAGTAGCAAGTGGGGGGTGATAGATATAGTGGAATATTTCCAGAAGCCCTAACTTCTCAGAGACGGTATTGATGTGCTTCGCTGTGCTTTACTCAAAATCACGCAATTGTTTTACTGTAAGAAATTAACCTTATCCGCTATCCTAATTCGTACAGGGTCACAACAATATCAGATCACTCACTGCTTTTTTTGCGCGGAATCTTTTTAAATTACTGGGTGTCAGTTGTTTTGGATGTAAATCCAGAGAGGAAACTTGGTAGAAATGGAACAAACGAGCTTAAATGTTGCATATCTAAACTTGATGCACTCACTTCACATTAAAGAGAAAGGGGTTGAAAAAAAAAAGAGAGTAAAGAAGAAAAGGAAGATTGAGTTTCAGCGTTGCTTTTTTGTATATGTCAGGTAAATGCACGTAATTCTATCTCCTTCAACAGGTGTCTATGGCTTTGCTTCTTGCTGCCAGGCAACTCCATCCTTGCACTGTATTACCATGTATTCCGAATTCAGTGGTCCTAATGTTGGGGATCGAGCACTACTGACTTGTCCCTCTGAATATTCTTTCACACTGACAGGGTGCAACGTGCATGCGCCAAATGGAAGAGGTGCTGGAGCGTTTATTGAAGGTAATAAATACATCCGTAAAAGTACTGCCGAATGCCGTAATTTACAAGCACGTAACAAACCGGTACAATACATTACATGTTCTGAGAAATGTTTTGTACTACTGAGCTTTTTCACAAAGTTTCCTTAACATCAGAATCACTATTTATGGTGCAATATGCAACAAATATTACAGTAAACGTTTATTTCATTGTAAAATAATACAAGATTTAGACATGATGGCTATTGTGAAATCTCAGACAGCAGATACAAAATAGTAAAAAAAAAAAAATATAAAAAAATTAAAGATCCCTTGTCACGCCTTTAGGCGCATCGGGTAATAGGAAGAGCACCCATATTTTTGTAGGCCATCGGCACTAGGTGGGTAATGTGGTCAGCATTACGCCGGTTGTCTTCACTTTCCCAGGACAGCCCATCCTGGTACCCATTTTAGGCTGGGCCGACGTGCGACGCCATATACCACAATAAAAATCCACGCAGCCAGCAGTGGGATTCGATCGCGGAGATACAAAATATAGAGGGGAAAAGATGGAAGTTCGGGGTCTTTTCCGTAAGGTGAAAAATCGGTAAAGTCTTACAGTAAAGTAAAACGTTAATAAAGCTAGTGAAATCATTTAGAAAATTGTCTCTAAAATGATATCAATCGGCTCTAGTTTTGTTATGTTGACTCAAGCTAGTCGCTATGTTATTGATGTATGAGTGCCGATTGATCTATGCAGATATTAGTCTAACATCTGTCCGTGATCAGTCAGTGGCTTTAAAAAAGTTTATTACATTACTTGACCTAATGATCATCATGATATTGTTGCAGGTTCTTTGTAGAACGTCGGTAGCAACGGTCAGCCTAAAATACACCGGTCTCTCGCTAGCTTTATGCCTCATGTACTTTCGTATTCAAGGAGTCACTTAAATCATTCTCACCTCTTCGTGTTTTTAGACCCCTGCCTGTCGTTCCTGGTACCGTGTCTTCTGCAATTTTTTTTTCAATCTGCTGTGGCGCTTGATATGACTTCAGCTTCCGAGAGAAGATGTTGCTTATTAGCCAGTCTTCCATGATGTTCAGATCTTTCAAAATGTCAGTATTTCTTCTCTTCTTTGTCCTTAGTATTCTGAAGGCCTGTCTTTATCATTTCAGCTCAAAAGCCTTTATGACTTATTATGGGCGGGGAGAAAAGGGGGGGGGGGGGGGGGGGGGTTGGGGGAGTTATAAGGTGGTTGTTTCTCCTTTGCTTTTCACATTCAGGTGGCTTTAGACAATGTCATCAGCCTTCAGCAACCTTTTCGATTGCTAGGGCAAGTGAATGCTTTGCTCTGTGATGCTCCTGCTAACAACAGAGGGCAACCCAAATGTGTCCACTTATCCCTGTGGTTACTCGATCCCCATAGCTGCGTTTAGCAATACCGTAGTGTGTTTACCATCCTCTACGGCGTGGAGATGAGGTTGGGGTTTGCCCTTCGCTGAGTCTTGAGACAAAACTCTTCAGTAATTTTAGATGACACTTACCTTACTACACACACACACTTTACTTACTATATATTTAAAAAATTCAGTGGTTTATTGATTTACATTACTTGCAGCAATCAATGGAGTAGACACGTGTGTCGCTATCAATGGATTCCCGAGATTTGGTGGAGAGAATGGCGTTCAGGCTATTGCTGCTTGTTGCCGAGTTGTAGTTTAATATTGTTAGAAGTAAAAACGTAGACTACAATATGAATACATGATTCGTGTCTCTTTGGTGTCTTGTGATTCTTTACGATGTTTTGTCGAAATATGAAGTCATAATGCAGTAACACTTCGTTAACATGAATTTTAAGGGATCGAAGAAGAATTCTTGGTCCCCCCTTCCCACCCTTACAAATGTATGTTAAGAGTGGAATAACATTGTTGGCGCCAATGTTTCTTCATGCAAAGCGAATGTTCTTCCCAAACGGATTTGCGTTCTCGAGGGTTTGACTGTAGTAAAAGGCAGCAAGCATAAAGAATACACTGGGGGGGGGGGGGGGGGGGGGTGCTTAAGTGGCAGCCTTTCTACAAATGTTCTGGGAGCAGGGGCCTTTTGTGTTTACTACAGTGTTTAATTTTTTTATATTTGATATATTTCTTCAATCCGTTATGGCGCCTGCTATGACCAAAATGCTTCAGCTTCCGAGACGAGATGTTGTTTATTACATTTCACAGTTTTACCCCTTTCCTGTCAATGTGCCAATATTGGGTCTTTGACATCCAAAAGACGGTTAGCATAACTTTCCCAGTATAGCCTGTGTCTTTCATTTTGTGTGTGTGTGTCTGTGTGGGTGTGTGGCGGTGACGCCGGATGCCTCCACTGCATCGGTTGTCTTTTACTCTCTGGTTCATACTGGTGCACCCAGGACCATCACCTGTTACAATTCGATGGAGAAAAGCATCTTTTCCTGACAAATTTTACTAATGTGCTTCTTCTGTTCATCGGACAGCTGCCTCGGAACAAATCTGCTCAACATTTTCCAATCTCCACAGTCGTCATGAGAAATTTCGTATGAACCATGACTCCTGTGGAATTCCGAGCAAAGTCATCACCGCTGACTCGTCTGTTGTCATGGATTCGCTGCTCTATCGGCTGTTTCACTGTCTCAGCTTAAACGCTAAAACGTCTCCCACTCCGCTTTTGATGCTCCATACGCTGTTCCAATGTCTCAAGTGCCACGTTAGGCAGGCCTCCCACTCCGCTTTTAATCACTGATGTTATCACTTCCGTTTTCAAATCTTTCCATCTATTTATTCACTTTCCCCTAACACAAACACCTGTCCCGACATGGAACCTTTGTTCTTCTACATGTTTCATACTTTTTTAACACCGTCTGCCCACATAAAACGAAAAGCACCTAGTTGCTCTGTCACAGTTCATGTTAACAGTGCTGCAGCAATGTTGTACGACCTTTTGCGCATGCGCATACATTTAAACAGCATTTAAAAACTAAGTGGAACAGAAAATTTCCATAATTGCATTAACAGTAATGCTTTATTCTAAACAATTTGGAGTGGAAATTTAGAGGCATTCCTTGGCAAATTGTAAAGCAACAATTAGCCTTAAAAAACACTTTTGAGGAAAAAAAAAAAAAAAACCAGCCGGAATGAGTATTACCTTGGCGTATTACCATTTAGCACACAGTTGTTTACAGCGTAATGGCGACGAATGTTTTGCAATCTTTGAATCTGCTTATACGTCTCTCCTACATTTTTCTAACTGGAAATCTCGTGTCTTTGCTGTGTGTGTATGTGTGACTTTCTTCGTACATCTTGTTGTCTCAAATTGTGACTATATAGTTCTATATTCTGATATCACTTTGTCTTCAATTGTATGTCTCTCTCCCTATATATATATAATATATTACAATCAGTATTTGACCAACATGTTTTCCTCTGGGTACTGGTGGGTTTTTGTCTTTCTAAAGCAATGACAAACTTGAAGAACTAATAGTCCCTGTGAAAAGATACCTTAGGACTTAGCAGGGAGAAAAATCAGGCTATACTCTTAGCGGATAGAGGCGCTTTTTGGAACAAGGTAGATTTACGAGACCTTGTCTTGGACCAAATATAAATCTTGGACCCTGAAGATTCATAATCAGCCAGTAAACCAATAAATTTAGCCGTGCATCCCACCAGCTATGAAATATATTATGAAACATTCGCTTAATAAAGACTAGAATAAATGAAGCAATGAATAATTACCCCCTAGATATTATATTACCCATGTAACAATATTTTTCATTCTGGAAGTACTCAGTAACATTTTATTGCAATTTTTGTCCAGCTCTTCTGTTAACACACACACACACACACATGTATATATATATATATATATATATATATATATATATATATATATATATATATATATATATATACATATATACAGTCTCTTCATAAATCTTTCCTTCATACCTGTCTCTGTCTATTTGAAATATCTCTATGAGCCTTTGATTACATTTGTTTCTTCTCCATTACATATTATATCCTCCACACACACACACACACACACACACACACACACACACACACACACTACTTTAACATATGTAACGAAGCACCCTAAATACATGGGATCGCAATAATGATCTTAAAATCCTGTACTCTAATTTTTTCGAGATTTCTTAACGCCAGCAGATGTCGCTAGTCACACTCGCCATCGCCATGGGCTGTGATTCCCATGCCTCCCGACAGCTCAATATAATACTATCGTCTGAAAATATAAAAAATTATCACTACTAGCCTTACAACGTTTATTACTTTTTGCCGCTAAGAGAATATTAATTGCTACTTACACTTGCCAAATACTACTCGAGATAAGTATTCATTGTATAAATGATCAAGAAGCACTTGTCAACACAATTGCAAAAGTTATTTGTATCAGAATTTCAATACCCCATTATTTGTTGATTTTTTAAATGCTGATTTCAATTATTATGACTACATTTACCAACTGGCTCTCGAATTTTCAAATGAATTGTTTCATCATCATGTAGCAGGTCTTTTGCAGAATGTCGCTCTCACCACAGTCTGCTTGAAAGAAACTCGGTCTCTCGGCAGTTCTCCCGCCTCATGTACTTTCACACTCAAGGAGTCACCTATATTATGTGCCCATCTTCGTTTCGGTCGGCCCATGCCCCTCCTTCCTGGTACCATGCCTTCTGCTATAATTTTTTCCAATCCGTCGTAGCGCTTGATATGACCAAAATATTTCAGCTTCCGAGACAGGATGATGTTTATTAGCCAATCTTCCTTGATGTTTATTTCAGCTTCCGAGACAGGATGCTGTTTATTAGCCAATCTTCCTTGATGTTCAGATCTTTCAAGATGTCAGTATTTCTACTCTTTTTTGTCCAAGATATTCTGAGAATCTTTCTATAGCATTTCAGCTCAAAAGATGAAGAATTTACGTTACAGAAATACCAATAATATAGGCTTGATTAATTCTCTGGGGTAAACACGTTGTCTTTCTACTCTAGAATAACATTCACT